CCCGACATTCAAAATCCCGACATCCATAATCCCGGCATTCAATATCCCGACATCCATAATCCCGACCTTCAAAGACCTGAACAGGCATAATCCCGACAACCAAAATACCGATATCCATAATCAGACATTCAAAATCCCAACAGGCTGTCTGTCGTGTCTGGCTGTCGGAATTTTGGCTGTCGGGATTTTGTCCTGTCGGGATCTCGCTGTCAGGATTTTGGCTGTCGGGATTTCGGTTGTCAGGGTTATTATAAATGTCGTGATTTGGAATGTCGGGATTTTTTGCTTTCCTCAAGCACAAACTAAGTTCCAGTTCGGTAAAAGCACTGAATACGGCAACACTAATGGACGCTACATTGCAGTTTTCGCTGGTCATTGTGCATTGTTTCTACATTCTTCGTACCTCCACCTCCATGAGCTCAAAGACAAAGAAGCTACACCGAAAAGTGATTGTAGCGTTGATGTGCCAGGTATTACAGTTATCGCACTACACGGCGTGTTTCAGGCCCTGATTCCTCTTTGTACAATCTCCCTGCCCTGGTCGTATATGATCCTTTTATTCATCACTGGCCGCACTGGTGACCGAGGTAAATTAAAATTTTGGTGGGCCACCGAATCTAGGCATCATTAATTGTGGTATGGTCATAAACGCGTGCCACGCGCTGATAGGATCTATCACCCTGGCTGTAACGACTGATACCTATCGTCGGCACATTCTAACGAAGATCGCCAAAATATTTAGGTTTGGATCAAATTTATTTGAATTTCTTTCGTTTAGGATAGTACCCCGCGAAACCCTGCCGCCAAAGCCCTGCGAACAAATACCGAATAAACGTTAGAAAAACAACTCTTTTCTTGTTGTACTTTCCTGAGCTTCGCAAACCTTGCTTTGCTGGTGTTTTTGGATAGGAAAGAAACGTCATTGTGTTTATGATGGTCCGGAATCTACTTCACAAACAAAAATTGGTGAAAAGGTGCCGTTTTCGCTAATAAATTTAGCTTTTGTTAAAACCCTCCGTTTTGTGCCCAAAATTCTGAAAGTCGAAGTTTACTTGAACAAATTTCCCGGGAGACACTTGTCGATGCTGTCGAAGGCTTCGTCCCAGAAAAGCCGGAACCCCGGCTGTTGGAAGGAATTTAATGGCATCAAGATTACGATGCTGATTTAGAGGCCACACTATTGGAAAAGCCAAAGCCATAAGTGTCCTCTGGTTCTTGTCACATCAATAGAGACGTATCTAGCACAAATTCGCGCACCATTGATAACCCTCTAAACATCTGGCGCCTGTGTTCGAATCTAGTTGGTCGCCTCGTGAGTGATCAAATCTTCTCTACCGATCAAATATCACTCGTTCTGTGTCCTAGTTTTTAATAATTTTTCAGCATATTTTTTCTTCATAAAAAGTAGTAAGCCACTTACCATGAAAAATCTCACATTTTAATTACTTTTAAGCGCAGCTTATATCTGATGGCGTGGGTCTGCGAAGCACCGCCTGGATACGAAACGACGGCCTACAAATTTGAGTGTGGCGGCAGATTGTTGAAATGCGGCGGTTGCAGAGGAAAATGTGATTTTTTTTTCCTTGAAAATTCATAGCTTTTTAGACGAGCTTCATGAGCGGAAGTTGCGTTGCTTACATCCGGTTTGTAGTGAATGTTTGGAGGAAGCATACAGGTCTGTTTCTCTCTCTCTCTCTCGCTCTGTTTCTCTCTCCCGCTCCCTCTCCCGCTATCGCTCTCTCGCTCGCTCTCTCTCTCTCTCTCTCTCTCTCTCTCTCTTCGCGTTTCCTCATATCTTAAAAAAAAACATGAAATTTAGTATCCAATGCACCTATTGCCTGGAACGATCGCCAGTCAGCAGCTCAACCCCACTCGATCAAGGTTGGGGCGCAATTTTTCAATGAGCAACAACAGTTTTAAGAAGATCTACAGCGACTCGAGAAATCTGGTGCATTAAAAAGACAAAGAAAATACATGGAGTTTTGTGACGATTACCACATGGCCCTATCGTTCAAATTCAGGCGAGAGGTAGGTGTCGAGAACGTAAAAAAATCAGATATATCCTATTACAGAGGGCTTTGAATAAGAACAACCACGAAAAGAGTAAGAAGAATAACCATGAATGCGAGGTATCCAATTTTTAAGAACCTTCCGAATGGGTGCTCAAAAATTCAGGTTCAAGCCTTGAAAAATGAGCTAGAGAGCTCCAAACGTCAAGTGGAGGAACTTTTACATCATAACCAGTCGACAGCTAAGCTATTGTGTACGGTAAGTGCACAATACTTGGGTTACTTGAATTTAGATCATTCCGATTTCATTTCTTCCATTTAGTTGGCGGATCGTAACGTACGTTTGACAGACGAGCTACTCGAGCAGCTAGTGGGCAAAACGGCGGTATGGATTTGGTTAAATTAATCTAATGAAACCATTGGTGCATTGATCCATCTAATTTATTAAAAAAAAATGCTGTTCCGTTTTTTATTTTTTAAATTTAAAATATAAATAATTTATTTAAAAAATTGTGTTTAGGGATGTGGTGCCGCCACTTTCATACCCAGTTTGCCTGGACCCAGTTCCCAAGGTGAAAAACCCGTCCCGCTAATGGATCTTTGGCAGCGAGATGGTATTTTTTCGCATCGTTCCGGCAGGATCCGTTTTTCTAGGTTGGCTCTATCAAGACCAGATGGCTTCCCGGCAGCCGATGTGTAGCAAATGCCAAGTTGAAATTTCTAGGTAAGTCTGGTCTATTGATTTGCCATCAGTATGGTGAATTTTGAGACTTCAGTGAAATGAAATTTCGGCCAAATCGGAATTCCACAAAATTAACACCGACATTACAACTTCCAACGACCTGAAAATAATAATCCTGATTTACATTAAAATTTAGCGTCATCTGCGTGGATTGTCATCAGGCAGCAGCAACGGAAGCAAGTACGATCGCCGCTCGGGTGTCAAAAATCGTATTGCAGTCGGTGACCAACAAGCCAACGGAAAAGGTATGCTACTACTAAAAACGACGGTAGCCCGGAAAAAATTACACCAACTTAAATTTGAAAATGAGCCTTGCTGACACCGTGATCCCTGTAAAACCACAAGTGTAACACAAATTTATAGCACTTTTCCAGAAAAAGATCGCCAGATTTATGCCGATTCCGAAGCCCCGGCCCCCCACATGTGATACCTGTGCTAACAACAACACAATGATACAGGAACTGGTGAGCTTAAAAAATTTTTCTTAGTACAGAAATTCCTATTTTGTAGGAGGCAGCACTAGCCAAAGCCCAGAAAGAAAAAGCTGGTCTAGAAGAAGTCGTCAAGACGCTGTGTGGGAGGATAGATGAAGTGACGGAAAACTGCGCTAGCTTGAAGAGACAATTGGCCGGGCAAGGCCGAGGATTCGGCAAGGTTCATGAAGCTCATGCTCAGGTAAGTAGCGTTCACCTGATAAAATTAAATCTCTTAGTTGCATAAATTGCTTAACTTGATTCTTTTAGGGAGAAAAGCTGTCGGAAGAACTACAGATGCTGAAAAGCGGCGCGAAAAAATCGGAACCGCTTCGGAAGTGGACCAATCAGCCTCAGCAAGGCTCCGATTTCGAACCGAATGTAAGTTTTGCAGGAAAATACTGAAAAGTATGGTTTAGATGTGCCCGACATTGCCAAATTCGAGCGCAGAAGAATGGCCAAGCCTGAGGAAATAATCGCTACAACATCCCCTGATCTTTGCATTTGCTGTTGTTTTCTCTTATAAATAATTGAACAATTACATGGATTGACCTCTGATTGATATGGTGATAAGATACGATTGACATCTATAACTGTTAAGTAGAGGCCGTTGGGACGGAGCTTATATTTTTGGAAAGATGATGACGGTATGCCGTGCCGAGGGCCCAAAGTCTCTTTTTCGATTTTTTGCTCAAAACACGTTATCGTCGGTTTCTTTGCCGCGCTATGCGTAAGTTCCTGATATCATTCTGCTGCTTCTAGCAAGATACGTACATATGTTCTTCGGTGGACAAGCCGTGACCTAATTTTTGCCAGTTTCCAGCCCCTGCAAGCAGCAACAAAACTGTTCCGTAAAGCTAAAAGATTGCGACAAAGACTTGAAGAGCGTAAAAATCTCTAGTTATGGATCTCTAATACGTACTCACTACTGCTCTCTACAGGTTGTTCCAGAAATCAGCACCAGCAAATTTCTGAGGTTTTTTCGATGAATGGTTTTATTTAGAAAAACCACAATTTTATAAATTTCCCCGTTTTCTGGCGTAACGACGGCTTTTTGGAACGCGATTTGTAATTAGCCGTGATTGGTGCTGAAGCCGTTTAAATTAGGTTTTTAGAAAGAGCGAGTCCACGAATTGTTGCCCAAAATTTCCATTTCTAAAATCCTAAGCGAGCGGACCCGCCTTTTCATACGCTTTCGGTATCTATCTAAACCGTGAAAATCGCACTCGGCTGAGGAGCGGAAGGGTGGCGAGAGATTTTTGCGTGGTCCTGGATAATTGCCAAGACATCGTCAGCCGACCATTGGTGTATCAAAAGCAAATAGGGCGCTTATCACTGCCGCACTCATAGCGATGAATTTAACGGGATGTATAACTATAACAAAGGACTTTAGTGTGCCTCCACGACCTTTTAGCCCATTTGTGGTTAGCTGGCAGATGCTGCCGTATCTGCCCCTGGAGAAGTTCAGCTGGCACTCATTTCCTACCCGATCTTCCTCTCCCTTTTCACAGCCTCTCATTTCAAAAAAGTTTTTCCCCTCTATTAAATCTTGTTTCTTACTTTAACCAGCCGGCAAGCGGCTGGTCTTCGGCCTCGCCCGCTCCCGCCCGCTCGCCCAAACGCGCGCGACCTGGCTGACTATGTCCAAAGTCACCCCAACCTCCGTACACCACTACTTTTTACCTTTCCTTTGATTACTTCTACTTTGATATACTTATGATTGATGACTAACTTGATATCGTACCATTTATCATTACTTTCAGAAGCGGAAACAGGATGGCGACGTTCAAATCGATGCAGAATTTCAAGCCCTATGACCATGAGGTATCTCTAATGTTTAAGCACGCTGTGTGTTGCCCATGAAAACAGGAACGCGTCAACTATACCAATTTTTCTAGGCCCAACTCAAGAAATTCGAGACCAAGAAAATCCCGGACGACGAAGAGGACCTGCCATACGGCTACTGCTGCTTCTGCAATTTGTTCGACACGAATCTGGACAACGTGATGAACTCGTTGCGGTTGCCGTGTGGGCATGTTTGCTGCCCGAGGTGTCTTCACCTGAGCTATCCACTGTAAGTCGGCTTAACTGACCCAAAAATGGTAATCATTCCTAGTAACATAAACACGGTTTTTCCTATAGTACCCCCGCTAGGGCTTGAAAATACGATATATCCCAACTTTTTTTCAGTCGCTACAAATGCGAGTTGTGCTTGAAATGGGACAAGCAGGACTCTCGACCCTGGAATGTCAACTTCCGGAAACATGGCTGGATGGCCGGCGTGCCGGACAGGTTCGACGAGAGGGTAGGACGATCACTCAAATGCTGATTTTTTTTCTCCTATTTTTAGGACATCAAGGCGTGCCGATTCTGCCAGAATGTCGGAGGTATGCTTGAATTTTTGGATTCTTATACCAAAAACCTAATCTCCATTTTGAAAATATCGAATTTTTGAAATTTCGCATTTTCAAAATCAGCATTTTCTAAAACTCGAAGTTTCGAAATCAATGATTTTCGAGATCATGAATTTTGAAAATTTCGAATTTAAAACAGCTCGAATTTTCAAAAGTCGTAATTCCCTAGCATAAAAATAGCTAGACGCTTCATTTTTCCTGGACGTCTTTCGTTACCTCCCTCGAGATTCTCGAGTTTATCGAGATTCTGTAAATTCGGTATTCCGAGAATTCCAGGTTCTAGTTTTGGGATTTCGCTAAGCAACCCAAGAAACCAAAAAACCCCATTTGCACACAATTTCATAACCCGAAAGTTTAGTAAAACTCGAGAGGAAAATGGATAAAATCAAATTCTACTGGATGCCCGACGGCTCCGTCAGTTGCGTTGGGTGTGCTGATGAATGGGTGCGGTAAGTTTCACCTTTTTTTGCTAGCAATTTCTGTAGGGATATTGCGGAAACGACCCGACTGATGCCGGCCATGCGCAAGCTGTTTGGTAAGCTGAATTCATCCATTTTTGCTAAAAGTCTGTTCAGATTACGTCAACACCGACCCGGCTAAGCGGCACTTGTTGAAGTGGGGATCAAAGGTATCGATAAAATACTTTATCTCCTACGATCGATTTATTATTTTTGTTTTTAAAGTAGATTCTCCGGATTTTTCTCCAATGGTGTTTAAAATTCATCAATTACTTAAAGAGCATTCGCTTAAGGTTTGCGCTGCAGTTTTGAGTGATTTAGGCTAAATCTCGTAAGTTTGCCTAAAAATCTCGACATCTTAATTGATTAATAAACTACGATCCTCACTTTATTAAAATAGCGTCCTGATTAAAGTACATTCCGTAAAAGCGAAAAATGGAAAAGTGGAAAATTGGTGAAAATACGTTATCAAGGCTAATTACAATTTTTAGGCGGCTAGTGGCAGTACAAAAACGACCAACAAGAAGAAGAACAAGAATCGGAAGCAAATGAATCGCAAACAAATGCAAAAGCACCAGCTTGAAGAGCTGGAAAGTTCGGACGACGAAGAAGGGTGGGAATTAGCTGAAGAGCCCGGCACGGAAACGCCTTGCGAGGGCTGCACAAAGTTGGAAGCCGAAAAAGACCAGCTGGTAGGCCTTGAAAAAATTTTCCTAATTTTTCTTCTTCTTGATATCCTTAAAAAAAACAAGAATTTTTCAGGTTCAAAAACTCGAGCGAAAATGCGCGTCGTTGAAGGAATACCACGTAAGCGGTTTTTTAGAAAATCGATCAATCATCTATTTTTTAGGACTTTTGCGTAAAGGACTGGGAGAAGAAGCGGAAGAGCTATGAAGAGAAGGTAGCGCTTTTTCTCCACCACCTAAATTTTTTTTTCAGGAAAAAGCGCTTGAGACCAGGGTGAAAGCGTTGGAAGAAAAGTTGTCGGGCCGCGAGGCGAAGGAGTTGGTAGGGTTCAAAACTTCAGATTCAAAAATTATGAAATTTTAGAGCCAGAAACAAGCGGTTGCGAAGCTCCAGGAAGTGATCTCGATGCTCCAGTTGGATGATAACCAGAAGGTAAGGATTGTAACGTTCTCCGCATCAAAAGCTTCTATTTTTAGAAGCCAAACAATGACGTAGAAGCTGATTTCTGATGAAAAAACATACTACAGATCAACGTGCTGGTTGTCGTTGATTTGTTAATTCATACCGTAATTTTTCCCTTGGTGTGTCTCTTTATAAAGATTTTATCGCCCCAATTATCGGATAAATCACATCTCATCAAGACCATTGGTCGAACAAGTGCGCTGGGCCCACTGGGTCGTTTTTACGCGCCTGTTCGATTGGGTCGCCATTGCCTGGGGCGAATTGTGTACGCTATCCACCCGGCGTTTCAAATGGCAGCATCAGCATATGATATCACCCGGCTAACCCTTGCGTAATTTTTGGCATTATCAGAAAACCTTTCACTATGGTCCTCGGCCCTCGGTTCGAAGGAACCAAACAACTCTGCTCTGCCATTTTGAAAAGTTGGATTTCTACATTTTCGACAACTACCACAATTTTGCTATTAAATCAGCCCATCCAGAATGTAAATTGTGCCATAGAAACAAGTTTAAACCATCTGCAACTTCACAGCTTTCAAAAAATCAGCTTAAAATCAGGCTGCTCCAGCTTTACTGATGCCGAAGCGGGAATACGAACCCATGCTTCCGTCAGATGTAGCTGCCCTGATTTGGGCGGATCCTGAAGACGCGGAAGCAATCCGCGAGGAGAACGCCGCCCTGAAGCTGCAGGTAGAAACGCTGTTGTCTAAAAATTGGAGGCTGAGGAATCAAAAAGTAAAGCATTTTTTATAACATTTAAGACACATATGCCTGCAGGCCATGTCGAAAAGAACTAGACGACGAGTCAGAGCTGGCGACATGACTAAGGTGCTTAAAAAGGTATATTACTAGGGAAATCAGCAATAACCCCGGAATTGATATTGCCTGAAAACTTGCTACTTGTTTCGAATGAGCTTTCTAACGAAAATTGTCAAAAACTGAAAAAAATTGCGACATTTTTCTATGGGAAATGGCAAGAAGCCCACTTAGCGCGCATTTTTGAGGTGCTAATTTGCTGGACCGATTAGAGGACTTACGTTATCAGTATTTCCCTTTTTAGCGCGCCTCAACCTCGGCCGAAGTCCACCTGAAACAACAACAAATCGATGACCTAAGCGAGCAGCTAACAACAGTGACGAGCGAACTAGAGTTTTGTCGAAAAAATGAGCAGGAACAGGTCGGTTTCAGCATTTTTCCAAAATGTCATGTTTTTGCATGCACTTCTTTCGCGTATTTAGACGTAAAAATGCCTCGGGAATTATGTCGCCATTTGTGGAATCCTCAGCCAATTTTAATTATTTTAATCCATTCGCCAATTAATTTAATCATTTTCAATTTTAAAATTGACACACAAGGCAATACGCCACACAGGGTGTGCCAATAAAAATACCGGTCAACTCGACGTAGAAGCGTCGGATCGGAATGATAGCTATACCATCCGAAAGCCCTTGAAACGGCTAATTTGTAACAATTTTCCAGACTGTGTTTTTATTCAAACGTACCATGTTACAACGCATTTAAGAATATTAAGGAACGGCCTCTCCATCTAATTAACGGCAACTTCCGGTCATTTTGTTTGAAGAAATTGAGACAAATCGGCTCGTGTGCAACCGCGAAAAACCGCAAATTTCTACTCAAAAAACCGCAAAATGGCTTGTGGAACGACGCGTATAAATAAAAACATGGTTTGGGGTTGTCGCAAACTCGCCGTCTCAATGGCTTTCGAATGGTGCAACTACCATTCCGAACCGATACACTTGCGTCGAGTTAGAGCGGGGTGTTTTTTATTTGGACACCCTGTACAACTCTTCCCCCGTTTCAAACATTCCGCTTTCAGGAACGTCTGATGCAAGGGAAGGAGGCGCACCTCACCAGTCTTGAGCAGATGGTGATCAACCTAAATTGGAGAATAGACGCAGCAAACGCGCAGAACGTGCTACTTGAAAATCTGATCCAAGCGCGGAAAGCTGAAGCAGAAGAAGTGGATCCAGTACGTTTTGAAGATACACGCAATTGCGTTTTTAAGGCCAGAGAACACCTTGAAGGCAAGGTAGATGCTCTGAGACGTGAAAACATTACGCTACGTAAGGGCCAGGTATCTTTGAGAAAATTCAAAGCGTACTGTCTTACAGCATGCGTTGCAAAAAGGGAGAAACAGGCTGCAGGCTAGCTACAAGGCGAAGGTATGCTAAAAAATACGGCGTCAGGTGATTACGTTGCAGATTCATAAACTTGGCACTGAGGTGGGTCGCTGGAAGGGTCATGCAGACGAGCTTCAGGCACAATGTGCTTCCGCCGCCGATCTGTTGCTCGAACTGAGAAAGTAAGGATTTTTTCGAATGTTCTAGGAGACAGATAGTTTTCGCAAATTCGTAAATTCGTAACGATTGGTATACCTCGATGGTTAGAAATAAATTTAAATTTCACAACAAGTTCGTGCTTTAGCCTGGACTGCGCAGATTGCCATCACCCGCTGATCGAGTCCACGTCGACCAAATTTGGTAAGAAACGGAATTTGGAAAGCCTACTCAATTTTTAGAAGTTATTGACGGATTGGTCAACTTTTTGGCAGTATACGTGAGAAGAAAGGCCGAACGCGCCGAATATCAAGCCGACGACCCTGACCTACAGTCAGCTACAAGCCGCCGGCAGGCAGGGATTATAATTTCAATATAAAGTCTACTAACAAGCAGACGTTTATAGCGACGGTCAAGTTTCCACCCGGGATCGAGCCCATTTTATGCAGAATTTTTGGCTGATTTCGAATCTGGCAATCAATTGGCCGCTTTCATTTCAAAAAATGTTCAAAATCTAAAATTTTCAATTTCAAAAATTTTTCTATTCGACTTTTAATCTCTAGATCACATTTTAGATACGATTCAAACGGGCAATCGGAGAGGAATACTCGGAAGGACCTGGCGAATGGGCCGAAACGCCGTGTGACGCAGACGGCTTTGAGCTAAATGTAAGTTTATTTTAACTCTTGTAAAATTCAGAAGAGCTTTGGTAGCTTGAGCACCTCTGGGCTTCAGAAAGCTCAAGTTTTAGAATTTAAGAAGCCTTCGAAAAACCGATGATTTAGATGTGTCTGACCCTGGAAGACCCGACACCCGGAAAATAGCCCAAGTACCATCTATTATTAAAAAACCATTAGTTATTTGGTTTTCATTCTCATTCCTGATCTCATTAAATTTACCAGTCGATATGCTTCGCATTACATATGTATAAATCGTAATTTATCATTGTGAAAGCTATTTGGTATCTTGGCATTAGTGTTCCAAGCCTGTCCAGATGTATTTTTCCAAATTTTCCACACCCAAACTAGGTATCACAACGACCGAAGCAAAGCAAAGAATACATTAGTGCTGCTCGAGATATGCCAAAGATGCAGATATATACATAGCAATCGAGCAGGTGATAATATCGATCCAGAAACCGTGCGAAAATCTAGAAGATGCACTCGAATGACGCGCTCCTAGCAGGTTGAAAAGAGCCCATTTTTTGATTTTTCCACTGTTTTTTGGACCAAGGTGTCACTGTATAGGCAAAAAAACGGTTCATGATTGGGAATTCCCTTATCCTATTGGCCATTAAAACCAGAACTTATCTCTATTTCCATCATCGACATCTTTTACTTACATTCCTCTTAATTTGCTCTCCTTTTCCTTCGCAATTATTTAACAGCTATGATTTTATGCGAATATTAAGGGTTTTCGGGGTTTTTATCCCTCGCCGAGATGGGCCCGATTTTATCCGCTCCGGCACCAGAAACTGGCTACAGGTTCGAGCATGACGACGAAATTCTGAAATGTGGCGGCTGTCGAGCGGAAGGTGGGTTTCTTTTTGTATTACAGAATACAGATACGGTAATTTTTTTACCCTAAGCCTAAGCCTATGCCTAAGCATAAGCCTAAGCCTGAACAGAAGCTTCACTATCAGTCAATGCCTAAGATTCAGCCCAATGCTAAGCCTATGCCTAAGCCTAAGCCTAAACGCAAGCCTAAACCGAAGCCAATGCCTAAGCCACAGCCTAAGCCTAAGTCTAAGCCCAAGCCTAAGCCTAATCCTAAATCCTAAACCTAAGCCTTAACCACATTACATAATTTTTAGAAGGCCTTCACCGCCGCAAGTTGACCTGCCAGCATCCAGTCTGTATCAAATGCCTACAAACCGTCGAGATGTGGGTTTAAACGTCGTCTCCAGGCTTTAAAACCAGTGCTAGACACATTTTGAATTGAGCTAAACTTTTTAATAAATTCATTACGTAAATTGTATTGCTTCAGAGTCGCCTGCTGGCACTGCAACTGGCTGACACCAACCAAATATGCAATGCCGATCGATAAAGGTATTCCAAAATTTTCGCGGAAAGCATTTTTCCAGATGATCTCGAACGGCTCAAGCTGGCTTTGGTAGTTCTAAAGGAGAGCACGGTCAATTCCATCCTGCCTTGCGCCGGATACGAAAAAGCGGAAGCGTATCGGCTCGAAATTGAGGCCTTGAAACAGGAGTTTGATGACATGAGACCAAGAAGCAACGCACAGGCATCCTTCGAAAATAAATATATACTTTTTTTATGAAAATGACGCTCCACGATGGCCCACCATACAGCTGACTTTCAGATGAAGGTATGTCAATTGAACGGAAGACTTTAAGGCCTAATTCAAGGTGAAAAAAATGCGAGAAGAACTGAACGCTAGCCGGGCGAGAGTGGCTGAGCTCGAGGAAAAGAATCGCTCTTCAGAAGAACTTTTGAAGGAGGTTCGTGATAACAATTAATTTACTTTATTTGTGCGCGAAAAAACTACGGTGCCATTTTTTTGCGAAAAAAAACTTATAGCATTTTGGAAACGCCTGACTTTTTGCTCAAAACCAAACGAAAATTAATCAAAAATAAACATTTCAAAAGATTTTGGCATTTCCTGGCAAGGAAAAATTGCTGAAAGTGCTATAAAATAAGAATCACACCCCCGCCCCCCCCCCGCTAACAGTCCAGTACCAATTGCCTTAACTGAGTTGGCTAGTTTATGATAATTTTCCTTATTTTAGTTGTCCGAGCGGATCATGCGACTGTCGAATGGAGGAAGTACAGCTCCGATACCACGTTTCATTACCGATAATGTGAGGGTGTTTATACAAACGGTGGGTTCGCCAATGGTTTTTAATACTGATGATTTTAGGACATTCTAGTGCAGAAGCTAATGAAGAAAATAGCTAACCTCGAGCAGGCCGTGACAAGAGCTAACTGGACAATAGATGAAGAAGTTGAAAAAAACGCAAGTCTTCGCGCCCGTTTAGCAGCATACGAAGGAAAGGGATCAGTTACTGTGGAACAGGTATGTAAATCGTAGCTTTATGAAGTGCGTGCTTAGATAAAGCTCTCAAATGAACGACAACCTACCAAAGCACCTACTTTGCAGGCTGGTGTTAATGCAGCATCCGCTAAACTTGTAAGGCGCTTACTTTGTATTCTTGATGATAATTTTCTGTAGAGTACACAGGTAGCGACCGCCCAGACAATCGGTATGCTCCGTGACACGGTGCAGTTTTTGAAAAGGCGGAACGAGACATTGACTGCGAGATGTCAAAGGAAAGGCGTATACCAACCGGCAAGTTTTACGGTTTAAATACTCGGCAATAAGTAGATTAGACCTTAGGACTTAGGCGGCCTGGACCTGGGCTTAGGCTGAGGCTGAGGCTTAGACGTAAGCTTAGGCTTGGGCCTAGGCCTAGACCAAGCCAAAAGCAGCCATTCAAGTTTTGACCAAGCCATACATATTTAACCTTTTGAGGGACCGACCATAACACAAGAAGTCGACCTGCTGCACAGTAAACAGTTAGAAGTGGTGGAGCTGCAAAAACAGCTAGCAACAGTACATGCGGAACTGGAACTGCGGCGAAAAAATCAGCATCAAACGGAGCAAATACGATTCGCAGCGGAGCTGAAAGCGCTCAAGGAGAGAACTGCGGTAAGTATCGTGGCGGAGGTTGGATTGCTATTTTTTAGCGAGGTGGGGGGGCTTAAAAGAGCGGTGTTTAGGGCTTATTTTCATAATGTCGAAATTCATAATAGCGAAATTCATAATGTCGAAACTCATAATGTCGAAATTCATAATGTCGAAATTTCATAATGTCGAAATTTCATAATGTCGAAATTTCATAATGTCGAAATTTCATAATGTCGAAATGTCATAATGTCGAAATTCAGAATGTCGCAATTACATAAGCTAAAATTCCCGGTAAATTCCCCGAATTCTAGGCAAAAAAAATGTTGTCGTGAAATCAGAAATTGAAAAAAATTTGGTGGTTTCGCCGGTGATCTTAGCCTATGTAAATTTCAACATTCTGAATTTCGACATTATGACATTTCGACATTATGAAATTTCGACATTATGAAATTTCGACATTATGAAATTTCGACATTATGAATTTCGACATTATGAGTTTCGACATTATGAATTTCGACATTATGATAGCAATTCGGTGTTTAGAGCACAAATTTTGCTTTCCGTCTGTTACCTGAAAATATTATTGACACATAAAATGTGCTTTCTTGGTAGGCACACAAAAATGCTTGCTAATTTGCTACTTTTGACCTCTTCGTCAAGTCATCAGACTTTTTTTTCATCTTTAGTTTTTTTAAGAAACGTCTGGTGCGAGGGATAAAGAAGGAGAGCCAGAGAGGGAGAGAGAGTGAGAGATGCTTCCTATTCAAATTTTCATTGTAGGTGCAGACCCTGGCAGAGGAACCGGACATTCTCAACGCTGAAGCCCCAAGCGATCCTTTACCCTCCGCTTCAGTCAAGGTTTGTTTTTCCGGATGAATTGCCTCATTCTGGCAGCGCATCCCCCAAATCTCTGTTTTTAGGTGAAAACCCCGAACGATGCTCTGCAGCGCGCAGAACTAAAAAACACGGAACTATGCGAAGCTAAAGAGCACGCTCGCTCTGCCAATATGGAGCGGATCCAGGCGGTAGGCTTTTCCTTTTAGTTAATGCTGTCTTTTTCTAGCTGGAGGGCTCCAACTCGCGCTTGTCAAGGGAAGTGCTTGATCTCAGGGAAAGCGCCGAGACGGTAGTGTTTTTAATACTGAAAATAGAAATGTATTGTAGTACACCCGGACCATGATTAGAATTACGAATATACCGATGGATTACACCCAAGAAGATGTCATCAGGCAATGGCTTGGCAACGGGAAACATCTGATTCATTGGGATGAAAGGTAGGAGGGGAAAAACGCCAAAATCCCGACGATTATAATTCCAACAGACCGAAATCCCGGCAGCCAAAAACCCAAATCAAAATAGCCGTTTAAAAGGAAGTGGCTTTCACACGGCGTTAAGAGTCTGTCGAAGTTTTCGTTGTCGGAATTTCGATTGTCGGGATTTTTGCTGTCAAACCCTCGCCTGTCGGGATTTTAATTTGGGAATTATGGCTTTAAGTAGGATATTACCTGTTGCGAAAAGCGGAAAACACTTTTCAGCCCTGATATGTTCATGCGACTCCAAGAAAATGACACCCAATCCTGCATCGCCTATCTTGCAAATGAACAAGCTGCATTAGAGGTTGTAAAAACTTGGTAATTTTAAGTTGGCTTGACTTTTTCAGCTGAAGTCCCGCTTCGAAGGCTTTGTAATCTTTGGGAAAAAGCTTCGATTTGAGGTGGAGACGCTGAAGAAAACGGTGGAAGCAGAGCCGAACGTAAGTCTGGAGGGCAATTTTCGAAAAGACACGCTTAGATGACTGCGACCCGGTGAAGCTCTGTCACCGGCCAATAACGGATTGTTGAAATGCATTTACCAAAGTATTACCATGCGCTTTTACGTTCGATAAATTCTATGGAATTATGTGAAGGACTTTGCACTTTGTAATTTTACAGTTCTATCTTCTTTCTAACATCTGTGAAATAACGCGTAATTAGCCAGTGCCATTCGATAAAACAACCAAAAAAGCTACGAATACAATTGCCTTGGCGCCTTGCCGAAAAGAAGCGAATTTGACATTTTTATCGCAAAGAATCTTTTGTTGAAACCCACATAGGATAGAATAACGGATGATACTTATACGATTCGAAAGCCCTTGAAACGGTGAGTCGCTGTCGAGCTTCGAAATGCTTACAAGGAAATGACAACATCCAAACGCATCCAAAACATCGCCAAGTTGGCTATTTCCGTTTTACCCTAACCACCTCAACTATTGAAATCGCCACGACGAGCAGAAACAGGAAGTAGAGAATCGATTGCATTGCCGGTGGAATTCAGTTTGTCGGGAAATGGCAGCTGCACTGCCCGGGGTCAACCTTTATCACGCAAACTTTTCGATTTCCATGTTTTATTCAACGAGGCCGAGGGGTTCAAAGGGGACTCGCTACCAGCCTCAACTGGAAATAACAATTCAACGTACTGAAAGAAATTTGGTTCCGCCTCTGAATCCTGTCTGCGTGTGCAAAACTTTTTGTAAGGCACCGACCGCGAGCATGAATTGTTTCTTATAACAGAGAACTTACAAGAAATAACTTTTATTTCTTATAACATGGAATAATTACGAATTTAATAGATGGCAAAACTGGTAAAAAACTTGAATATCCAGGGACTACACCCAGGAAATGTTTGATGGCTTTTAACTCTTTATTTCGATCTTAATTCCATAAAATGCATTTTGAGAATTGTAGAACAAATTCTGCCGAATCGAATGTGACAAAATCGGAAGAAAATGGACCTTCAAAACTGATTGCATCAAGGCCTTGAAGTTTCCAGTTTTAGGCTATGGTTTGGCACACGCGGTGTGTATTGTAGCGTCTCGTAGCCCCAAAGTGAGGAGCTTTTAGCGAGCTTCTAGAGTCCTTATAATCCTCTCAAAATCTCGGCAACACGACGTTCTTTCCAACCGGACAGTAACAAACTCTGCCAGCACAAATCGCGTGTCGGTCGCGACTTTGGCGACTGTCACCTGTATTTGGCCGAAGAGCCGACGGACATATGACTGGTGGCCAGAATCGCTCCGACGCTCATATGACTGCCACCGACAAGTGACCGTCGCTTCGGAGCCGACTGTCACTTGTCCAGGGGCGCGGACGCGACACTCACTTGTCCCACCGATCCCGACGGTCACATGTACGGTCTGGGACCCGACGCTCACTTGATTCCCCGGACTTAGGCAAATTTTTTTTAAGTTTCTAAGTTTTTTTTTGTAAAAAAAGAATCAGTAAAAAGGTACCTTTCATTAGGGATGTCACAATCGACATCCGCGCCTTGTTGATGCGCCGCCGTTACCTGAAAAAATATCACATTACTCACAAAACCATGCTAAATACGACGAAAACTCATTGGAAATGCACAATGTGCGAAAATGAATAGAAAAAGAGATTTTACCAACGAAGAAAGCGTAAAAAAATCAGCCGGGGAGGTTGTTTCAAGGGTTTTGGGACCTAAAACAGGCAAACGAGATGCAAGTATGCATGAAAAACAATAATCCATAAGAGAATGATTGATAAAACTAAAAAAAAGCCTTTTTTAATAAAATGTAGAGTTGAAAGAAGAAATTTCTAAAGGACTTGGTGAAATTAAATGCGGTAAATGCACGTTATTCCAGGGTTGTGTGTAGTGCCTCGTACTCGGCACCCGGACCGGTCCGGGAACACCAATCTTAGGGCTTACGCCGCTTAAATAGCGAAGAAATACACATTCCCGCGTGTCTGTAGCATCCCAGGGTGATTTGCGATGAAAAAAAATAATTTTTTGAAAATTTTTTATTTTTCGACCAAAATTTTGCCTAAGTCTGGGGGAATCAAGTGAGCGTCGGGTCCCAGACCGTACATGTGACCGTCGGGATGGGTGGGACAAGTGAGTGTCGCGTCCGCGCCCCTGGACAAGGCTCGGATGCGACGGTCACTTGTCGGTGGCAGTCATATGAGCGTCGGAGTGATGCTGGCCACCAGCCATCTGTCCGTCGCCTCTTCGGCCAAATACAAGTGACGGTCGCCAAAGTCGCGACCGACACGCGATTCGTGCTGGCAGAGAAGTAATAATTTTTGAAAGCGATAATTTGGCGCGGTCCGGTTACGCGCTGTATTACCCGGGTCACGCCTTAGACAGCACGGCAAATAAGTCGCATAAGCAATTCTAGCGCCAACCCGTTTGGTCTTCTTACGTAGTTTTACGATTAAATTCAGTTAAATTAAGTTTTTACATGATTAAAACAGCCCCTAGTAAATTTAACTAGCAGGGCGTTAAATACAGGAGGGCGTTAAATACAGGGGCGCGAAATACAGGGGCGTTAAATACAGGAGGGCGTTAAATACAGGGGGCGCGAAATACAGGGGCGTTAAATACAGGAGGGCGTGAAAGGGCGCGAAAGGGCGTTAAATACGGGTTGCCTTTTTATTCAACGTCCCACAATTCAGGAAACATTTTGATTGCATGCATTTGCAAGCTGAAAACGCTTTTTGATCGATAGCATTGTTTCCGATGTTGATCGAGGCTCAACGCTCTTTTTCAGGCTTTACAAATTTGGCTCTCATGATAAGTCATTCCACCTTTTCGAATTGCCGTATTTTTCATGGATTTTATGCTATTTTCTAGGGTTTTTTACCGGAAGAATGGGAGCCACAGAATCAACGCCGGCCGCACCGCAAGCCCCACCTCAGCCACCGCCTAGAACTGTAAGTTTTTGTTAGCATGAATTTTTCAGTACATCTTTCTGATTCACAAATTTTAGTCGAGAACAGCCGAATCGCTCCCCTACAAATATGAACTCAACGGACAGCCATTAGGATGCGGGAGCTGTTTTTCGAAAGGTAAAAATTTTCAATCTTTCCGAACTGTGTTTCAGCCGGGCTTCACATCGACATGCTGGACTGTGGGCACCCTATTTGCTTTACATGTAGCAATGGGTCAACCAGGTATTTAGAGTTGTATTTGCAAAGTAGTTTACAGGAGCATCCCGATTTTTCGAGGGAAAAATGATTCAAATAACCACTTTCGCCGCCTTTTGAAATCTTAATTTTTAGATACTGCTCGTACTGCTATGCCACGAAACCGATCAGGCTTATTGATGCAGGTGATTCAAATGTTCAACGTTTTTCAACAATATTTGTTTTCAGTGAACCTTCGCCGGCTAAGAGCGTGGCAAGGCGGACAGAGCACGGCTACAACGAGCAACCCAAAACCAACACCCACAGCTGCTGCAGGCCCACCGAAAGCTGCTCCGGTACCCGAAAATCCGGCTCAAAATTCGGTAATTATTCCTTTTTTCAACACGTAAGTAACTTTGCAGAAGCCAACCGCGAGCGCGACCTTTGCGCCGTTTTTCAAATTCGAACAGCATGGGCGCCGGCTTGGGTGCAGCATTTGTCGCAGTCTAGATGCGGGTCCGTTTGATCACTTTTCGATGTCAATACCGTTTTTCAGACGGTATAAATATGTACATGGCCACGTGCGGGCATCCTGTTTGTCGAACGTGCCTTCCGAAAGCTTACAAGTGATTTATAGACCCGCTTTTAATAAATCCTGATTTAGCGGCTGGTGCGCCAACTGTGGGAAACAAATTCAGTCGGTCAAGTCGACTTCACAAGGTTGGTAGATTTGTTGCCGAAAATTCAGTCTAACGTTTGGGCTTTTCAATTCAATTTTTTGATACAAACCTGTTTTAGACGACCGGCAACGAGTCCAAAATTGGCTGGCGACGACGGCACAGAATGCGAACAAGGTAAGATTTACCATTTCTGTCCCGTGATTTTTAATTCAGGCAACCACCAGCCCTTCTTCAGCCCCGACAGCGAGTCAAGTGCCAAAACCGGAAGTGGTATGGCCTTTTTCAGTATGCTAAAAAAGTTTAGAAGAAAACGGCGGTCGTTGCGCCTACAATGTCAACTGCCCAATCAGCTCCCTGCACCACTTGCGCGAACACGAAAGCGCTTGAGGTCGAGCTGAAGCTGTTAACCAATGAAAATGACGAGCTGAACACGCAAATTGAGGGGTTGCGAAAAGGACAGGTTGTTTTGTGATAAAATGTTTAATATATTCTTATTTAGGGAACAATGACAAAGCAAAGGAATGCTGAAAAAGCCGAATTTGAGGAGAAGATCAAAAACCTAACTGAAGAAAAGAAAAAGCTCGAGTTACGCCTAACCGAGCAGGCCAAACACCTGGAGAACAGCTTGAAGTATAACCAGCAAAAGGATGTGGAGGTGCGTTTTGAAGCTTTTTCCTGAAGCCGTGTTTTAGATCAAAAATCTACACGAGGAACTGCAGCGCGAAGAGCTGAAATCAAACGAACTACACGAGGCGAAGACAAAAATTGCTGCCGCCAATCTTCAGCAGATCAAGGGAGTAAGCTTTTCTAGATTTTCAGATAATCCTTTACAGTTGGAAGGCAAGAATCTGCGCTTGACGAGCGAGATCCTGGAGTTGAGGGAAAGCGCCGTGACGGTAATGTTAAAAAATAGAAATAAAACTGTAATTTAGTACACTCGAATCCGGGTCAAAATTACGAATATTCCGATGGACGATACGCAGGAGGACGTGATCAAGAAGTGGCTCGACGGCGGGAAGCATTTGATTTATTGGGATGAAAGGTGAGTGGAGGGTGCTGACGTTTAAAATACACCTTTTTAGCCCTGACATGTTCATGCGATTGCTCGCTGACGACACCCAATCTTGTGTTGCGTATCTGGCGAATGAGGAAGCTGCTCTAGAGGTAGTAGACAATTAAATATACATTTTCGTTATGATTTTAGTTAAAAAACCGTTTCCACGGCAGCGATGTTGACGGCAAGAAACTTCTGTTCGAGCTGGAGATCTTGAAGCGAAAAGTTGAGGGGGAACGAAAGGTAAGCGGCTTTAATAAGAAAGTATTTGCATATTTAGTCATTCCCTTCATCGTCGATCCCTTCAAATTCCAATGCGTCGCAACAGCAAGTGCCGAAACCCTTCAACGATCAATCGAAACCGGCCGAAAAAGTGAAACCGCTAGGAACTATCAAAAAACCCGAGTTTGATAAGGTATAATAATTAGAAAAAATGTAATCTGTATCTAGAAACCCGCTCCTGTATCATCAAGTCAAAGGTCATACGTACCGAGGGAACAACAGGTAAGGGTGTTAGGATAAAAATGGAAAATGGCTTCCCTAGCGTTTCAGTAAATGAAAAAGAGGTTTTCTTTTTAGGCCACCACGAGCCAAGCCACTTCAAAGAATTCAACCTCTACGCCGACTCCTCCAAAATCTTCTACCCCCGACCCAAAAGCAACAAATGTTCTCTCAATTCGCGGTTTCGGCAATGAAGCCACGGACAAGGAAATTATTCAATTGGTCGATGGTAGCACGCAGCTCTTCCAGAAGAAGGATGGAAAGTGAGTTACGTTATCCTTTACCGTTATCTAACTAAATTTTAGGCCCCGCATCGAGCAGTACCCCGGCTTTCACCTTGTCTACATGAACACGCCGAAAATCGCTGAAAAGGTATTGCCGTTAATCTTTAAAAATATTCTTTATGTCGCCAGGTTTTCAACCGTCTCCAGGGCAGGACCTACAAATGGGGCAAGCTGCAGGTCAGCTACCATCTCTAGAAGAAAGCTCTTACTTATTTATTTTGCTCATATTTTGTGTGCTTTTACTGCCCTTACTTTTATGCACCTCATTCCGCTGTGATACCATTTCCTGCCTTATTTTCGTGGTGTTAGCAAATTGGCAATAAACACGTTGCTGTGCTTTTTTATTTTCTAGAAAATTCGGGGCATCATTATCCCCAGAATAAATGCTTTAAAATATCGACTGTAATTAACAATAACGCTTGACGTGCACTATCCAATTTGCCAATGTTTCCTGGCTTTAGTACCTGGGGGTGAAATGGCGGCCTCGGCTGTCTTGGCTGTCAATTTGGGCGAAAAAGATAACACTGCAAATTTTGACGGCTGCTCGCAAGTTCGCGCTTTCCACTTTTGAACGTTATTACATCAATTTTCCCTGATTATCGTATATTTAAGGCGTGTATATTTTGGATATGCATTTGTTCCTTAGTTTTCATCAATTTTAGGCGCCCTTTACGTATCTAATTTCAACAACAGTTTTGTTTATGTTTATCCGTGGCTTCGCATTATCGGGGGGAGGGAATCCACTTTTCTTTTTAATGCTGCAACTTTTCTAATATAAGTAGAGTAAGTGTTACTGAACTGTTTTTACTATTTTTAAACGTAAAACCTTACAAATTTTGATTCAAAATGAAAAAAATATAAATTTTTCGACTAATTAAGACTGATTTTCTACTAAAATTGCAACAAAATTTTTAAAGTTTTCTTCTGATTTAGGATGCCATGGCAGCTAAATTCTAAAGACCAAGGCGCCAACACCTTACTTTCCGCCGGTTTTTATAAGGGATTTTCGCGGCTGGCGAAACGACTGTCGTTGTTACGACGCGTAGCCCTAAGTAATTGGCTACGATTGTCGTAGGCTCTTTGACCCCATTTCCCGCTTTGCTTTCTAAAGACTGACTGGATCCTAGAGATGCAACGTGGGCTATTACACACACCTACATCGAGTGCTGCAAATTAAGGGACGCCCTACCACATGACTGGGGTCTCGAAATGACAGGCAGTACCGATTTTGATCTATGGGTAGCATAAGGGCAGTGGAAATATATGTGGGTGCCAGGAGAGAGAGAGAGAGACCGAGAGAGAAAGAGAGAGAGAGAGAGAGAGAGAGAGAGAGAGAAAGAGAGAGAGAGAGAGAGAGAGAGAGAGAGAGAGAGAAAGAGAGCGAAAGAATATACCTCCCTGTTAATAATGATGAGCATCCTTTTATAATATTTTTAGAAGTTTTGATGGCTAAATGTCACACATTATATTAACAATTTTTGAAAATTCGAAACCTTTCAATTTTTTTCATCCGTTTTTGACCAAAAAGTCAAAAATGTTTATTTTTATCGGCTGTTGATAAGTCAAAACTGTGTTCATTGCTATAAAAATGGTCTATATTTATTATGGGACCATACAGGATTACTGGAAAAAATTAGTACCCCCTGTTTGCAGTCCAATACCGTATCTACTAACCTCATTATAATCCGTTAATTCCTGGAAAAGATACTAAACGCCTCTATTCTTGCTTTCTCGAATCGCGGCGCGGGCCTAGGGACTTTATTTTGTCTGCCGACACCGTGAAAATTGCGAGATTTTATCGACGTGTACATCGGGGGTTTTTCTTTAAATCTAGCCGTTTAGAAGCTCTGCTATCATTCATTGGGTTGTTTTAATAACCAGGATATTGAAAAATTTGTCATAATCTTTTATGGTCTGGTCAAAGGGCCCGCACACTTGACCTATTTTGGCATCATCGGATTAGCGGTTGCCGTTGCAGCATCGCTAATAGGCAATGCGAGCCTTTAGCCCGGTTTCTACTTATATTTCTAAGTTATTAGGGATTTTTCAATATTTTAAAATATTCAGATTCTTTCCTGATCAGGGTTTTACAAATTTTTCATTTTACTAACGAGCTCTCGTGACTTTAATTTAGAATTTTCTAGCTCACGTGACTGCCCGGAAATCACTAATTGCGAGACAGAAATGGGCTGACTTGCGTGATAGTGGTTTCAGCTCGCCAGATTTCTGTTTTTTTTTTACCAAACCAAGCCGACACATTGTATGCAAGTTATTCAATTAAATAATTAGATTTTGTTCTTTCCGCTTTACTAATTATGCGCTGCAGATTTTATTACCTTCAAGTAGAATTTTGTGTGCTCAATAATACTCAGGGAAAACCAGAAATTAGGCAAATTACATTGAAGATTATGGTTTTCCAAAAAAATTGCAAGGGCTAGCTGTATAGTTTCCGGATACCGAAAAGTTCGATCAACCCATTCGATCCCCCTTGGCCAGCTGGTGACCCCGGGTCCAGCTCTATGGGGGTGATTTATGTCAAAGCACGCCTGTCCTGTCACCTTACTTCCGCATCTGGCACTTTTGCATAAACAGACTGCTGGAGATGCGCGTACCCCCCTAACTAAGTAGTAGCGTCTGCGGTTGTTAAAAATTTATTTTGTGTTCGGTCGTTTTCTAAAGGGCTGGTGGAGGCAAAATTTGCATAGTTCAGCGATCCGAGCCGCATGCGAAATTTTAGATATTTTTAGTTGTTGAAATACGGCATGTTTAAGTCAATTAATTTTGTCTTGAAATTTCGAAAAATTGGTTTATCAATTTTAATTATATTTCCATACCTATCTTTTGATTTTTTGTGCGTTATTACCCTTTCTTGTATTTTTCCACATTTTTCTGCTTTCAGAAATTTTTAAAGACTTTGAAAAATGCCAAATATTGCTTTGCAAACCAGTCCACGCCGAGCCAGACTGCTACAGAATTTTCTGAAGTTTAATTAGGGAAAGTATTTTGCGTAGTACCCAAATGTCCGTTCGATTGCCTGTTACATCCGCACCCTTCCCTGGGTGAGCGTCCGGCTCGGTGACAAATGTGGCACCAACGCCACCATGCACAAAGCCGGCCGCCGGGCGAAATTTAGCACGTAGCCCCTCGGCAATTGACACCCAGATCAAAGCGGGCGATCGCCGGGCAATCAATAAACAATTGGTGCCACGTTCAGGCAAATTGGATCAGCGATCGTTCGGGCGAACAAGCATTTTTAGGCCGGAAATGCTCTTTAATAATTCTTAAGCATACACTTTCTGGTATCGTCTATTGTAGAAATGTGTCAAACTAATAATTATGCACTTTAAAGCCGCTTTAGCCTCGATTTTGACTTTAACATGTCGTATGTCGTATTTTAAGCTCGTGTCGTTTCTTTTTGAATCTAGTCATCAGATTTCAGTTTTAAGTGACATGGTGCAGGCTTTGAGTGCATCCCCCAAGATACCTCAAATTTGCTCGGAAAATTGCTTATTTCAACCTTTGTTGAATAGTCAGTTTGCCGAATATCATTGTCTCAATACGATTTTGAAAAAATCCATTTTTTCGAAATTCCCATACCTGAGTTAGGCTCATTTATTCCTCACAAACAAGTGGCAAATTCAAATTTTACCGCATCGATATTTCCATAAAATTAGGATTCAAGAAATCGAGGCCAACAAATCGATTTTCACAAAATTATGTTTCGACATAATGAACTTCGGAAAACTGAAAACAACCCGATTTTCCAAATGCTCGAGAACTACGGACATTTGATTGTGGCACAACACCCAGTTTTTGCCGGTGAATCTAAAACGTACATAGATATCTGTTTATCTTTGACACCTCCCCGATCACCCTTCGTACACTGTGACCTTCGCAACATTTAGTTTCAAAGACCCACGCCGCTTTGTATACAATCCGATTAGGATCCCGATGCGCATCGGCGTAATGGATCCATTAATGGGACCGGGCGCGTTTTGAGGGGGATAGGGTTCGGAGCGTGACGATCGGAAATACTGTATTCCGGCTCGAGATGTTTAGGGAGTGCCAGGATTAAGTGCATTTCCTAAGTCTCTCACTCTTTCCCTCTCTCTCTCGCTCTTTCCGCTCTCTCTCCCTCTCTCTATCTCTCTCTCCCTCTCTCTCCCTCTCTCTCTCTCACACTCTTTCTCTCACTCTTTCCCTCTCTCTCTCACTCTTTCCGCTCTCTCTCCCTCTCTCTATCTCTCTCTCCCTCTCTCTCCCTCTCTCTCTCTCTCTCTCACACTCTTTCTCTCACTCTTTCCCTCTCTCTCTCACTCTTTCCCTCTCTCTCCCTCTCTCTCTCTCTCTCTCTCTCTCTCTCTCTCTCTCTCTCTCGCTCCCTTCACTCGACAGTTCCATGCGGCACCAACCCCGGTAATTTTGCCTCCACCATGACGTACCCTTTCAACGTTCACGCTCTAATTACGACCTAGGCCCCCGTAGCGTGCAACATTCCCACCCAGGGCACAGCAGGTGTCGAACATCGCGGTGGACAGCCAGTGTGCCCCTCGGCCCTTTTCTACCCATTTTTCATCCGATCAGTTCCGTCCATCGCACCACCACGCCCCCAGGAACGCTTTTTTCGTACCCACGTTTTCGGGCCATGTTTTCAACCCTCCTTACACGCTCCTTTGTGCGCCCGTTTACCCGTCATCGACCTTTTTTGGGGACGCCTATTTACGGTATCCGCCGCGGGTCGAGGCGCTGTTTGCCCAAGTTGTATCATCGTTGAGAAGGGTTTTGGCTTTCTTTTTCCTTAGTTTTTGGTATCTTTTTAGAAATTTTAGGAATGAAAAATGCTTTCGCAAGGATATTTGCTCGCTTGTCATCGAAAACTTTCTATGTCCGGAACGATGGTTCAAAATCAGCTCAAGATCCCTTTAGCTTGATATAGATCTCTCTCCCTCTATCTATCTCTCTCTATCTCTCTCTCTCTCTCTCTCTCTCTCTCTCTCTATCTGTCTATGTCTCTATATTTCTCTCTCACTCTCTCGCTTCCTCTCTTTTTCTCGGCCATTCGTTACTGTATGTCCTCAAGCATCACTGCCGGTTTGCCTGTCCAACATCCAGTTCGTCGCAAAGGTGGTGTTTTTGCTCCTTCCTCACGCCCGACACACGCATACAGACAGAACACTCAAAAATGCAAAAAATGGCCCGGACAGCCTCATGCAACCTCACGACATGTTCCTACCCGAATTTGTCTAAAAGCTGTCGCCATCTCCTCCACCGATCCATTTCCACCTGAACCAGCCGTCGCTTATCTACCTCGGACCATCTTACGTTTCTCGTCGTTTTCGGAAGGTGCGCACTTGGCGGTTGTCCTCCTGGTGTTCGTAAATATCTCTGGCCGTACGCTGTACTTTAAAGTTTTTTCTCTGAAAATGGGCCTCTAAGCGGTTTTAACTTCCCAGAACTACGGTATTAGCAGCTAAAAGTTACCTAAATCGATTCGTATCTCCGAGCTCTACATGAGTGTGCAAAACTTTATGTCAAATCCGATTTCTCAGAAAATCTCCATGTTAGCTTTCGTCAGTAATATGAATATTCGTCAAAGGTATGGAAAACGTAAACCTATGCGTGGCTTGGTGTTGTCAAAGCATCTTTAGAGATTGCAGGCTCATGCTCATGATCATCTTGCTTGAAAACCTATTTTTTTAAATGGATTCCAATACAATGGATTCGGCCCTGAAAGAATGAACCCGCGGCTCCGCCAACCCGTTGCTAATCCGCTCTGGAGTCCTGGCGTCCAGCATAGGGATTTTACGGCATTGAATGTTGTACTTTTATTATAGTGTTTTATGCAGACCAAAAATCTCGGGCTCTCTTTCTCTCTCCCAATCTCTCGCTCTCTGTCTCTCTCTCCCTTTCGTTCACCTTGAACAAAAAACATTTGACTCCCAATTCTCCTTTCCCCTCCGGCTACCTATCGATGTTACGATCTCGGAACACCGTGGCAAAAATTCTCCCCTGGCTTTTCCTATCCCAACAGGTCCGAGGTCGCAATTATAGGTCCAAATCCTCTTGGGCATACAGCTATAAAGGTGCAATTTGGGGGGCATCCGCCGCTTTTCCTAGTCCCATGGATGTCAGGCCGAGAAGGTTGGCCATATCCGGTTGTTTACGATTTCGAACCTGTCCTTTTTAACGTTTTTACGGACTAGAACGGTTTTCAGCACATTAATAGACATCTTTAACTTATAACCGCAGGGCTAAAAATTTCTTATCAAAGCTCAATTTGATGGCTAACAGACTTCAGACGCCCGTGCAGCAAATGCTTGGCATGATAAGACGAACTTTTGTTTGCATTTCTCATTTTTATCTTTAAAGCCACTGGCTTGGCGGGCTATTTTTCAAACTTACGGTTTCTTTAGATTTTTCTAATAAAAATATCAGTTGTATTGTTGGAATTTCAAGAGGTTACCCTCAAAAAGGGCAGTTCGAGTGCAAAGTGGCTTGACTTCATTAGCTTCGTGAAAATTGCCTATGCTTCGGATTTACAAGTTTTTAAAAATTTTTAAATTAAAAATTATATTTTATATGCTCTAAAAATTGTTGCAATTCCAAGGGGTAACCCGTAAAAAGTGCAGGTCAACCCGATGGGAGGCCATGGTTTTTGTTAGCAGGCGAGAGCGCGAGAAATAGAGATCCAGAGCCAAAGAAGCTCGAAGGAGCCCCAGCACGCCCAGTCGAGCTGCCTCTTTTTGCTGCTCGTCCCATCCCCTTTCCCCTCTATTCCGCTTCTTACATCCCGCCCCGGCCACTGCACACTCACTCGCACAGCGGGTGGAAAAATTGCGATTTGCCCTGCCCGCCGGCGCTCAATTTCCATGTGTATTGTTGCGTCTCGAACAGTTTATAATCGATATTTTATATTTTTATGTTCCATAATCTACAAATCCCATATACCCTTAACGATCAAGTTTTTAAATACGTTATTCTTCGCGTTTTCTACTCCTTTATGCTATGAACATTGTACTCCTTAAACTATGAACCTTGGATTTTCTATTTTCAAAGCTATGCATTGAAACGACGAATTTGATTAATGCTATGAATTTTATGTTGCTATATGCTTTTGAATTGTATGCTCCCTAAATCTATGAATTTCGTGTTCCTTAAAGCTATATATTTTGTATTCCTTAAAGTTATGCGTCCCGTAATCAATTTTTTGTTCAAATTTCGCTTCTAGCTATTCAAAAATTTGCGCTTCGTTTTCAATATGGTTCCTCAAATCGCGGAGTTTTTTTTCTGAAAAATGAATTTTTCTAAACTCTTGGTATTTTCAATAAAAAAGATAGCAAAAAATCGGTCATTTTTCATAACTTTAGAGGCCTGGGATTTGTTTGGCTCTCCAATGAGAACTTTTCCACCCTAGCGAAACGTGTCACTCACCCCCATTTGTGACACGGCTTGCGGCGCTCATTTCCTAGTTCGTTCTCCCTCAAAGACCCTTTCAAGGCGGTGTTGCGGGTGATTTATTTGTCTTTGAGTGTTGTTGCAATTCTTCTAAAACGATCCACTTTACGACCAGTTTTCAGGTAGCCTATCGTAGATTAGAATCGACAATCACTTATCCAGTAGACGTCAATGGTAAGAGCTTGTATTTTCGACAAGTAATTTTCTGTTTTAGCAGCACATAAACCTGGCACGGCTATGGCATGAAAGGACATCCACTGAATTGGTAGGGATATACGGCTTCACGCTTGATTATCATGATTTCAGGACAGCGACGATGAGACAGAACTGGTGGTCAGAGATGTGGTGAAGGACCTGGTCGATCGGGTTCGTTGAAAATTTTTATGGAGTTACTTGTTTAAAAAATTAGGCTTTGCATTGACCTAAATAATTTTTAGAAGGTTAGACAAAGCTTTGCTCAATAGATAAAATGAAAATGAAGTATTTCCAGCAAGTCGAGCCTGAAGAGACTGAAACAACGGCATCGAGGTCCGATCGGCCCGAGGAAGTAGGTTGTCAAAATCCATCGGGTTGCTCTTTCTCGTTCCCCACACTCTCCCTATCTCTCTCTCTCTCTCTCTCTCTCATTCACTATCTTATTTCCGCTCTTTTTTAGGAGAACAGTACTGGGACAAGCAGCGCCACAGCCCCGATTTCCATCCGGTCAGCAAGCCTGAGAAGCGTAGGTTTTCGAGACCTTGAACCTTTTAAAGTGTAGACCTTCTTGATCTAAAGCAGTCTTTCTTATAGGAGGAAGAAGAGTTGTTTCACACCCCAGATCAATCCATTCTATCGGAACATGAATCTGAACGATATTTCTCCCCGGAAAAGGAGTGGCGACGGAAAAACACAGAGAAAGAGGTAAATAGCGTTTTTTTTATTGTAAAATTGCCTTAAAATTCGATAGCTTACTTTTATTCAATATTTCATTTCTCCAGGATCGGGTCCACGAAGGCCTCCAAAGTGCGCTTCAAACTAAAGAATTCTACTCGTCGGAACCATCCACCTCAGCACCGACGACGGTACTTTTTGCAACTGTCGCAACCTACTGCGTTTGAACATTTTAATGGGCAACTATAAGCTTACGCCTTTTAGCCGGCGAAACGTGACCAACACCTGAACAGCTCGATCTCGGAGGAAGATAGTGTGAGTCTCAGGATCGTTTAGATTTCGTAAATTATTCAACAAGGCGATTTTGATTATGACTTGAAAATACGCGAAAATAATACCAGTAATTATCAACTATAATAAAAAAGTAGTGGTGTCTGTCCGTCCGTCATGTCCCGGATTCAACTCGAAGGGGAAAGGAGCTAGAGCTTAGGTCTCTTCGGATTCGGATAGAGCGTGGTCAGAAACCCCCAAACTGATAAAAAAATTATGAAAAAGTTTTAATTTAAATTATTAAAATTAACTTTGAAAGTTTTTCCCTTAGTAAAAGGGGGGGGGGACGGAGGTTGGGGTGATTTTGGACATAGTGAGCCAGGTGGCGCGCGTTTCGTGGATGGAAATTTTCACGGAGGATTTCATTTCTTTTTTCTCTCATTCCATCCGGTCGGTCGTTATTTTCATTTTTTAAAAGGACGTCGGCTAGGGAAAGTATATAAAGCCCTCAGGGAGGTATTTAGGTAGTTTTTGAAGGGGATTTCGGCTATGGGGGGTATCTGAAGCCATCAGGGAGGTATTTAGGTAGTTTTTGAAGGGGATATCGGCTATGGGGGGTATCTGAAGCCATCAGGGAGGTATTTAGGTAGTTTTTGAAGGGGATATCGGCTATGGGGGTATCTGAAGCCATCAGGAGGTATTTAGGTAGTTTTTGGAAGGGGATATCGGCTATGGGGGCTACTGAAGCCGTTAGCGTGGGTATTGTTGGAGGTATGGAAGGATGTGGTGGAGTAGGACATGTAGGGTAGCCCGAAGGCCAGATGGTTGCAGTCGCGAAGCGACTGTAACCATCTGGTTTTTTTATATGTTCTATTCCATAATATATTGAATTTTTCAGGAAATGGCGCGCCAGAATACGTTGGCAAAAGTGGCACGACGATGGCCGGAAACTGCAGAAGCTGTAAGTACACTTTTCTCTTTGCGGCTATTTTACTCTAAAAGAGCCGTTTTTTAATTTTGAATTTGCCGAATTTTGAACTCTATGGAATGGGCTGTACCAAGTCGTAAAATCACGGAAACATGGAATGTTTGAAAAATTGCAGCCATTTTGAATACCGTCTACAAAATAGGCATTTAGTGGGCAAGGAAGTCTAAGGAAGAACAGGAAGCCCTTATGGAGAACGAGGGCACCCCTCCTACGGTCGTACGTATTTATATAAGAGGAATATTCCGGCGCTTCTCCTTGTTTTATTCAAATTAATGGATCTTTTTAGAAAAGTGGACCAGTTTTGACTTCCGACGAAGACTTTAACCTGTTCATCCGAGAGGAGGGGTGCCTCGTCCACGTGCGACGCATCTTTTGCGAGCTGAGCACGGAAGACGTGTCGCCGATGTTCGAGGCTGAGATTGGTGGCGTGATGCGGCGGCCAGTAGCGGGAAAGTTCCATCAAAAGTGCGCCTTATCTCTCGCATTCGCAACTGAAAAACATCTTTAGGATCATATACAAATACAATTTGAGATGGGACTTTTGCGGATGGGCAGTATTGCACTATGAAAGTCGATATATTGCACAACAGGTATTTCGAGATTTCGTTCTCTCTCTCTCTCTCTCTCTCTCTCTCTCACTCTCTCCCTCTCTCTCCCTCTCTCTCCCTCTCTCTCCCTCTCTCCCTCACTCGCTCTTTCTCACTCTCACTCTCTCGTCCCGTCCCCCCTCCCTCGAGCGCTCTCTCTCTCTCACTCTCTCTATTTCAATACACGTAAAAAATTCTAACAATTTGAGATCGTGAGCCTCTTCCATAAAACCGACCCATTCAAAACCGGCGTCCCCGTCCATGTCTCCCTGGGGTAAATATTTTTTCAAACTTTTGGTCAAATAACGCCAAATTATACACACTAATTGATTCGACTTCAGGATGCCGAAGAAACAAATCCTGGACCTGTTTCCGAATATTCATGCAGCCATTTCGAGACCGGATCTTGATCCGAGTGGTCCATGTGAGTTTTAAAATTTATCGGTGATTAATTGGTGTAAATCCTAGTTCTAATTACAAAGACACTGTTTTCAGTCCCCTCCCGCAACCGTCCCGTCATTGTCCCGAACGCGGCCTCCAGAAAAAGTGGGTATCCGCTCGGCACGATACGGCCGCCCTGTCTTAATACTTTGCCTGTTAATGCTATTAGTATTCCTAACGATTCCGCTAATCCGGTGATTCTTGCTAAGCCTGCTCCTATGCCTGCTAAGCCTGCTTCATCCGCTCAGCCCGCTTCTTCGGCTGGGCCGATTCTTATGCCTGCCAAGCTTGTTTCGACGCTTGATAAGCCTATTGATTCAGTGGCGGGACCCAATTCTATACCTGCTTCTTCCGCTAATCCTACTACTTCTATCGTTGCTGTCGCGAAGCCTGCTTCTTCTACCAAGCAATGTCGCAGCCCAAAACCTATTCCAAGGCTATCGGAATTTAACATAACAAGTAACCCGCATTTCCTTCCCCCTCCGCCAGGCCCATTCCCCCTATTCCCCCCGCCACCTATGCGGCTGATACCGCTTCCGCCACTCGGCTTACCGCACCCGGGCTTCATTTACGCTCCCCATATCCCCCCGCTAGGCGGCTTCCCGGGCCCTCAACCCTTCGGCCCACCAGGCTTTCACCCCAACTTTCCAGACACGAACCCGAACTTTCACCAACAAATCCTGGAAGATCTCAAAGGCAAAGTAATGGCTAATTTGGCCTCATCCCCCCGGCCCAACCCTAAGAACACCCCCAACCCGCCCGGACTCCCAAAGCCGCTGGCTGTCGAGGTGCTAAAGGCTCAGCAGGAACGGCTAAAGAAAGAGCTTGGCAAGGATAAACCGGAACCTAAGAAAATTGAGCCCGAAAAGCCGAAGAATCTGGGCTCCGTCCTAAAGGAGCAGGTCCTCCGCCAGGATCCTCAACTTGAAAAGATCCCGAATTCCACGGAAACGGGAATTCTGAAAGCTCAAGAGCTAGCGAAGCCTACTAACAAGCTGAAGGAGCAACTAAACGGGCTAAGGCTTGAGTTAAAAAAGGAGAACCCGGCAATGCCACCCCCTGGCTTATCCCCAAAAACTGACGAAGCTCATCCAAAAATTGCAGATCCGGCGTCATTGGGTCGGGAGCGTGAGGTTCCGCGGCGGGAGGCTGCGCAACGAGGCCCTGAACGTCTCGACCATGATGTTGTACCCCAATCCCTAGAGATACGAGTACTTGAACCTACGCAACGTGCTCCAGAACGGCGACTTCAGGACGTTCAATCCCGAGCTCGAGGAGAAGGTGTCCAGGAACCTGTGCGTCATTACCCTGAACGTCTCGAGCATGACGTTGTACCCGAATCCCTCGAGACCTGGGGCCCGGAACCGACGCAACACTACTCCGAACACAGAGATCGAAGGGAATCAAACTCGACCCAAAGCTCGATCCCAGCCCCGCCCGGATTTGAGCACGCCGTCGCGAGACGGCAAAATCGGGACGAAGTTCGAGACGTTCGGAGGAGAGATTCGGAATCTAGCGCCGGGCCACCAGGTCTGATCTACCAACAACGGAAGCAGGAGGATGAGGGCTACTTTGAGTCGAGGCACACCAGCGCGGATAGTCTACCGCAGCCACAACCTGGTAGGTGAAAAGTATAGTGAGACCTCAAAAATTCTCATTAAAGTCTGGTAGGGGAAAATCCGTACTTCAATAAGTATTTGGCCGGGTTTTAAGGTAATTAGCGAGGTTTTTGAGGTTTTGATTTTAATCCAAAGCCATTTTTTAAGGTGTGTAAAGCATGGTAGTTCTACATAGTTTCCATAAGTATTGAGAGGTTAGAAAGGGTTTTTGCCTTCACTCCAAAATCAGCTCTATAATGGATTTTATAATGTGGTTTCAACCCGGTATCATTTTATTATACTATAATCTTTTTTTTATTTTGGACCCAGCATTTTTCGCTTTTTGCTTACCATCGCCGTCTTGGGTAGTCTATTTTTCTATTTGCGCATGCATATTTCCATTAGCGAAACTTTTTCGAGCTTTTGAACCCAGATTAATAAACTAGAGAAGAAAATTAGATATAATAAATTAATTTCAAAACCTTAATGAATTTACAGTCTACGACACGAAAGCCATCTGGGTGCACCGCCTGCCCGGCAACTATGACACTCAAGCCGTGGCCGAGCGCCTCCGAATCCGTGAGGACGAGATTGTGTTCGACCATACAGAGTGGGTTCTATCGTTTTTTTTTAGTCAATAATCTTGAAATTTTATAAGACCAAATTTGCACCATGTCAAAATTCCATAATTTCGAAATACAAAATTCCAAATCCAGACGGTGGAAATCGTAGAATTTGGGTATTCGTAATGTCTGCATTTTTGCTATGGCATTGGGACTTCGACATTCAGAAAGCTCGACATCGTGAAATCGCAGAATCCTCATCTTTCCGCATGCCGAAATTCGGCATCATAATTTTTAATATTTGGATCGCAAAGCCAATTACGTGTTTGCAGACCTCAGATTGTGCTCCGCTACGATCCCTACGACGATCGCATCAGCGCCCTCATCTACTTTTTGCATCAAAATGTTGCCAAAGAGGTGAGGATTTTTATGAAAATTCATAGAATTTCAATTGTTTGGTCAAGGTATCCAAAATTCAAGCCGATTACCGTATTTTTTGCAGTTCCACGCCGGCTGGCACAACCAAATGTTGGACGGGAAAATCCTTGAAACGGCCTACCGGAAGTGCTAAACCTTTTTATGTTTTTTATATTCCTATTGTGTTTTTTTTTGCAATTCGATCCGTAGCTAGCTTCACGTTTTCGTACGTTTTTGTACGCTTTCGGAGTTGACTACGACTGTTACGTCCTATACCTTTGTCTTTGTCATTTTTCATCTACAGGGTAATTGATTTTCTGTCTTTCCACCCACTTTGCCTTTAAGGTTTACGAAATGACCTCACGACATCGATCCGATTTACAGGCTCATTGATTTGTATTTACTCATTTTTATAAACCGGGTATATTTTACATGCACATAATTCGACTGAATAAAGTTTTATAATGCCGAAAAATTGATAAAACGATGTTTGACACTCCCCAATAACCACTAGGTTTCTCTAATTGAGATCAGATGCCCGATGGTTTCTTCAACCCCCGGAACACCTGCTTAGACTGAGATCGACCATGAAAATGCAGAAAAATTGAAAAACAATGAAAAGCGGTGCCGAAATCAGACGGTAACGAAGAGGTCACCTGCCAGCAATCAGCCAGACCTGTTCCAAGTTCATGCCTGGCCAATTGTTGCCCCATTTTCACGGCAGATATCGATGATTACCTATGAGGAACCGGTAGTATACATTAGGTGCATGACGAGTCTTGCTGTTATTGGCATTTTTGTAAACGTGTCGACGTTGTGGATCATCTACGCGGCGTCACCGGCGACGATGCGAAATTATAAATGGGGGCTATTTGTATATCAGGTCGGTATGGGTGCTCTCGCTATCATAATTAAAATGGCAGGTTGCATGGCCAGAATTTCGGAAAATTCCAGATGTGCTCGGCGAACTTCGAGCTGTTCATCCATGCCATAGAGCCCGAGCTTTTCTTTCCGCCGTTGGCTTTTCGTCCCCATGGGTTTTTGTTGCGACATGCCGATCCGCGGGACCCCTTTGTAAGATATTTTGTTGTGTAAAGTGTTTTCACTCAGATGAGAGTTTCGATTCGGGACCAAATGCATCTTGTGCAGAAATTTTCACTGATTCCGAATCCGTTTTCCAAATTTGCTGCGGACTTTTTTTATTTTTAAAGTGTGACGGCAATTACGATAGGTTTTTCACCAAAATCAAAATATCGTTATCGTTGTCGATGTTTTTCATCAATTTCAACGCCAAATTGGCTAGACATTGGCTGGACAAGCATCTTAAAGGTCAAAACAAGCTTTTTATTAAAAAAAATTAGTTTTGCTAGGCAAAAAAGCAAAAAAAGTGACCACTGGCGGCTGGGAGCCATAAAACCAAGCGGGGAATAGTGGGTCTGAGTCCCAATTTTTGCCTTTTTTTCAGCGTAATTTGCACCCAAAATGACTTTTAAACTAAACGTCCGCAGCAAAATTAGAATGTTAAGTTTTAAAATTTAAAGGTCTATCGAATGTTAGTTTTTCTGCGCAAGTAGACGTCCATATGTGACGTGTCTGAACGCGTGCTTTCAGGAATGCGGTGCCTTCCTCATCGCGTCAGTGGCCGCATCGACGGCGGCTTGCGTCTTCTATCGACATCGGCAGCTCCTTCACGCCAACCATTCGCTTCGGTAAGCTAGCGGAAGGGGCTCCGGCTAACAAGTGCGGACGCCGGCGGGAAAGCGGATCCGATAAATCGCAATTCCATTTATCCAAAAACGCATGTTTGGCTGTTAATGAGCCGAATTAAAAGATTCACAGATTTGATGCAAATTTCAAAGACAGGCGCCTTCGAATTTTGCGACTTCAACAAAAACAAACAAACGCAGCAACAGAATTTTCGAACTTCTAAGTCCGTTATTTTGATCTGGAAAATTTTAAAGGGGTTTGGCTCTTTGAAAAAAGTCTTCCGAGACATATCCAAATTTTCAGGTTTGCGCCTTCGACTTACGTTATCTCCCTCGGTATACCAATGGCGATATGTTGCGTCGCGTTAATTTATGAGATCCGCCAGGGGAAGGTCAGCCAAAACGACGTCAACAGCCCGGTCTTGCTGAAGATTTTGGAGGTGAGGTGGGGGCGGATTCGGGACTGGGTCAGGAAGTCGAGAAATTCGAATTGGGAAATGATTCGCCGGCCATAATACAACCCTCTTTCACGGGGCGAATGAAAAAAATAGAGTCCCGCTATTATATGAAGCCCCGCCCCGCCCGCTGTTAAAAAAATCGGGCCCGCACCGCTTGTTTAGAAAATTCGGCTGCACATAGTTTTTATGGGTGCCGGTCGGATAGACGGCCAAATGAATGAAATAAATCGGATAGAATATCACAGGGCGTTATAGTATTTTGGAGTAGTTTGACGGAACGGTTTGACGGAATCACTTCCTGCTGTGCGAGGCCTCGATTCTTGTAGGAATTCCCCGACCACGGCTACCTTCGCACGGTGCCCGACCTGTGGGTTGGCGATGGAAGTCACGATTTTTCACTGTGGCCAACAAGCGTTCAAACGATGGTCTTGACCATATGCTTTGCATGCATCGGTCATTTTGTTCTCGTGAGTGCCCATTCAAAAGCCGCCTTATTGAAATGGCAACGTTGATTTTTGAAAGGTGATTTTCGAAGTATCTCTCTCGCTCTCTGTTCTCTCCCTCTCTCTCTCTCTCGGTCTCTCTCTCCCTCTTTCTCGCTCTCTCCCCTCTCTCTCTCTCTCTCTCTCTCTCTCTCTCTCTCTCTCTTTCTCTCTCTCTCGCTCTCTCCCGCTCTCTCGCTCTCCCCCTACCCCTGTTGTCAATTTTGCTCTTCTCTAAAATGCCATAGCTTTTAAGAACGAATTTCTTTAAACACAGGGCATGTGTGCTGTCATCCACAGCTACCACCTTTTGGGCGGGCATCATATGAGTGAGAAGGCCCGTAAAATGCAACGCCAAATGATCAACGCGTTGACGTGGCAGGTAGGTTTAGTTCTGGACTGTTAGCGGGGAGGGGGATTTTTAGCGGGGAAGCCAATTTTTCCCTGTGATTCTCTACGACCCTATAACAAAATCTAAAAAAGTTTTTTTACATAGTTTACATTTTACATCTTACATAGCTCTTAGCTATAATAACAAAAATGTTCGAAATTTTTTGACTTTTTTGGTCAAAAATGTATGAAAAATGGCCAAAAAGGTAAACATTTTAAAATTTTACAAAGTCTTTTTGTAACTCTAGTCAATCAAAAACTAACAAAAACGTTATAAAAATAGATAGCGATCCCTGCTGTTACTGTGTGCGGTCCATGGACATTTGGTGCGGCGATTGTATGGAGCAGGACTGATACATCGCAAGGTATGTGGTCAGGAGAAAGAGAGAGAGTGAGGGAAAGAGGGAGAGGGAGGGAGAGTGCGAGATGGAGTGAGAGAGTGAGAGAGAGCGAGAAAGACCGGCCTATTCAAATATTCTCTTTTTGCAGAAGTACTAAATTGTCTTTTCCTTTTTGACGGCTGTCATGCCCTTTTGACATCGCTGGAAATCGTTTTCCTAACGCGGCCTTATCGGCAGTATGTGGTTTCCCAGTTTTCATGGACCGAGAAAATGTAGGTTTCCAAACCAAGGTTTCATCGCTGCCATTTAGTTGGTCCACCAATTCCACCCCGCCTCACGAAAAATCGATGACTTCCCTGCATAGGTTGCCGCAAGTTAGGGTGTCGAGACACTAATGTCATTCTTGGGCTCGACGCGAATTTCCAAAGAGTTTCCAGGCGTAATAGCTTGGGAAAATTTTTGATGAATACTATGCATTTAATAAAGATTAATTTTTAAGGAAGGCATGATGGTTCGGAATGTAACACCTAAGCGTTTTCACGAGGGCCCACTACTGAAATTTAGGATCTACGCAAAAATGTCTTAATGCAAAGTTTTTCATAATAATATTTTGATTTATGCATCTAATAATGGAGCTTAACGCTGAATTGCCGAGCGTGAAATTTTTCATAACTTTTAACTATAACGGATTTGATCATGGCCAATGTAATTATCGATTTTTTTTTGGACACGCTGTTTTATGGCTTGAAAACAAAAATTTTTTGACTCTCAGGTGAATAAACAAATAATAAATTGTCCAGTTTACAGTTGGTTTTGATTAACTTAAATTTAATCGATTAACGCTGCAGTAAAAGCGTACCAGATGGCAGAAGTGCAAAAATCAGGTCTTTTGCTTGCCTTCACAGGAACATAAATAGCCATAGTTTTGCAAAAGTTGCCTAGAACAACAAATGTCGGATTTGGAGTAAGTTTCTGGTTGCTTTTTTCTGGATATTTATCATGTCGGGGCGGCTTCTCCTATACAACCGACCTCCGCTCCCCCAAGGGAACGCCGGCCTGCCATCAGCACCTCTTCATAGCTGTCAGGGGCAGCTTGTCGGAATTCTGGGAATCTCCCCAAAAGCATCCATTTTCTTACCGTAGTCGCGCTTCAAGTCAATTTAAAGCCGTCAAAATTATTTAGTATGTTTTTACGAATCCATGGACTTAATTGTAGGGGAAGCTGTGAAAAATGGCTGAATGAAATACTAATTTTTTCCAGTAGGGCTAGGCAAAAAAGAACGGAGCACTATATTTATTAAGATCACCTTTGCCTTCCTTCCTTTTTCCACATGCCATGCGAGTGGTGGCAGCGCAATTAAAGTTGCAATTTTCGCCTCCGGGCTGGCACATTTTTTTCGGGGACGGGCCAGGGGACCCATTTTCGTGGCTGCACGAGGCCATTGTTCTAAACAGAGGCATTTAGCAGGTTCTGTGCAGAAGTTTTCTATGTTACTGGATTCGCGTAAGAATTTATTCTCTCTCTCGCTCTCTCTCTTACGCGCTCTCTCTCCCGTTCCTGTTAGTGCCTTACAAATGTAAGCACAACATCATACCCCGCTTTTTCAAGGCTGTTTCGTTTCGAATTATGCGAAAACGGAGCTGAGAAAACCCAGGAAATTGTTCAATTGTTATTGCTGCCCCTTCGAAATTTTTAAAATGATTTTTAATTGTCTTTAGCCTTTTCTTCCAGTTTTTTTCTGCAAAAAACCCTCGGTTCTACACCCCGATCCCT